CCTGAAACCTGCCTGATGCCTCATTTCACATTTGCAATGCAGATGGGGCTACAATTTTGGACACTTATCTTGCTTAAGGCAAGTTTATCCTTCAGCAGCATTTTGCCATGGAAATAAAGAGTCTTACTCTTATCAAAATTACAGAGGTAGAACTAAGATGTAAAACTCTGACATGACCAGGCAAAGACAAACCTAAACATGACAAAGCTGAGTGCAGAATGAAGCTATTCATATTTTATATACTAAGACCTACTACCTGAGAAAGTTAAACTTCTTTCTCCCTAAACCTTTTCCCACTGCTTGTTGATTCCACAAGGGAACATGGTGTAAGAAAGTCTTGACTATTTTTCATCTGACCTCACTAATTACCATCATAGCTCTATCAAAATGGTCTAATTTGAGTGAAAAGCAGGCAAAGTAGCAAAGGAGCTTTTGGGAAGATTTAAAAAATCTTTTAAAAAGATTTTAAAAAGTCATTTAAAAAGTCATCTTCAATTTGCAGATTTAACACTTATGACCTTATGAAAAATTGATCTGTTTGCTTATACAGAACATATTAGGCAGAATATTAATATACTTACAAGATTAGGCATGCAGAAAATAGCTTTAAAATTAGATTTGTTGATAAATACTTTGAGAACAAGAAGAGTGCTTAGGTGTCCTGGTGGACATCAGTCACATTTCTATCCACAAATGAAGGGTAATGAAAGTCACTGTCAAATACATTAATTCAAAATTAAGGGCTCTGTTGTAGTGGCAAACTATAGTGATATTCGAAAGGAGCCTTTAAGCAATCTCTCCTGAAGTTCTGTGGCACAGCTGAAGAAGGAACTGCTTGAAGACCCCTTGGTTCCTCTGGAGTTCTCCTTATATCCAACCTAAATCTACTCTCTTTAAGTGTGAAGCCATCTCCCCTTGTCCTATCCCCACAGAACTCCTGGGGGCCTATTAACCTCTCCTGGTCTTTCAAGCTGTGTCACAGGAGGCTGTGACTGGGAAATTAAAAAATGTCAACAAAGAGTTTACATCTCTTGGGAAAATCCCTTGCAGGGATTGGGAGCGCAGACAGTGCTTTCCTCAGTCCTCCAAGCTGGAGACTGGGATACAGGCAGGAGGACAGACCTGTTGGTTGCACAGATGATGTCATGTCCAGGGCTTTGGATTCCATGACTTAGGACACAGCTTTGATTGACAAGGTATGCTGATGTTGGATGAGACACAATTGACCAGGAGGGACAAGAATATACTAGGCAGCAAAGTAGCTGGGTTCATCACCAGGGCTTTAAACTCATTTGGTGCAGGGAAGGGGATGTACTGCTGAGTGACAAAGACAAAGAACACTCTCACTTTAGGAAGAAGTAGGAGAAAACTTCAGAATTGTCCCAGAAGATTTTGGGAAGGCTCCTCCGGGAAGGTAATCTGACCAATACCCCATCTGAAGTGCCTCTATACTAATGCACACAGCGAGGGACATAAAGCAAGAGGAGATGGAAACCGTGGCGCAATTAGAAAATTATGACCAAATTGCCATCACAGCATGTGGTGGGACACAACTGGAGTGTGTGTGCCTTTGACTGAGGCAGGCTACAAGCTTTGTAGAAGGGATAGGCAAGGTAGGAGGGTGGGGGAGTTGTCCTTTGTGTTAAGAAGTGTATAGACTGTGATGAAGTGCATCTGAGAAACAGCTGACACCAGGTTGAGAGCTTGGGAGTTCAAATTAGAGACTGGACCAATAGAGGACATCTGGTGGTCAGGGTCTACTACGAGCTGATCATTCAAGTAGAAGCCTTCTTGCTTCAGGTACAAGAGATCTCATGCTCAAAGGCTCTCATCCTGGTTGGGGATTTCAACCACCCAAGTATCTGATGGGAAAACAACAGGGCAGGCTGCAAGCAATCCAGAAGACTCCTGATGTCTGCTGATAATAATTTCCTGATTCAAGTATTGAACAGAACAACCAGAGGTGAAGCATTACTGGACCTGGTACTCACCAATGCAGAGGAAATCACTAAAGAGGTTAAGAATGGAGGTAGCCTGTGACTTAGTGACAGTGCCCTGGTCGAGTTTGTAATCTCAAGGAATGTGAGCCTGGCAAAGAGAAGTGTCAGAGTCCCAAACTTCAGGAGGGTGAACTTTGGGTTGAGTTTAAAGAGATACTGGATGAGATCACCTAGGAAAATGTCCTTAGGGACAAAGGAACAGAAGAGATCTGTCAGCACTTTAAGGATGCTTTCTGAGAACACAAGAGCACTCTGTTCTCCAGCAGAAGAAAGAAAGCAGAGGAGGCAGGAAGGAGGCTGAGCAAGGACCTGTTGGTCAAACTAAGGGAAAAGAAGGGAAACTGTAAGCTATGAAAGCAGAGATGGATTTTCGGATCTTATGATATCTAGGAAGAATATAATGATGCTATCTGGATGTTCAGAGAGGGGATCAAGAAAGCCAAGGTGCGGGTGGAATTAAACCTGGTGAGAGTTGTGAAAAATAACACAAAGAGATTGTTTAGATACATCAGTCAGTAGAGACTGGCAAAGGAAAGTGTACTCCCTTTGATAAATGAGAAGGGAAAACTGGCTTCCTCAAACATGAGGAAGGGGCTGAGGTACTCAATAAGTTCTTTACTTTGGTCTTCACTGACAGTCTGACTTCCCCTGCCTCTTGTGTCCCTGAACCTCTATTCAAGGGTCAGGGGAGCAAAATCTCTCACTGTAAGAGCAGAGCAAGTCCAAGACCAACTCATAATTTGTACAAGTCTATGGGGCCAGATGGCATGCATCCTAGAGTTCTGAAGGAACTGGCTGATGTGCTTGCCAAGCTGCTCTTCATCATCTTTGAAAAACTGTGACTATGAGGTGAAGTCCCCAGTGATGGGAAAACATCAATCCCATTTTTAAGAAAGGGAGAAAGGAAGACCTGGGGAACTACAGGCCAGTGAGCTTCACCTCTGTGCCTGGGAGTATCATAGAGCAGATCCTTCTGGAAGAGATGTTAAGACATGTGCAAGATGAGGAGGTGATCCAAGATAGCCAAAATGATTTCACCAACAGCAGATCATGCCTGACCAATCTGGTGACTTTCTATGATACAGTGATGGCATCAGTAGACAAAGGAAGGGTAACAGGTGTCATCTGCCCGTACTTCTAGAAGGCCTTTGATATGATTCCACACCTCATTCTCATATCTAAATTGGAGAGACAGCAATTGGAAGGCTGGCCTATTTGGTGGATAAAATTCTATTGGATGGTCACAGCCAGAGTTTGTGGCCAATGGCTCTACGTCCAGGTGGAGGCTAATCATGAGTTATGTGCCACAGGGTCCGGTGTTCTTCAACATCTTCATCAATGACGTAGACAGTGGGATTGGCACTGTCAACAAGATTTCATAGAATCATAGAAACATAGAATCACCAAGGTTGGAAAAGACCTAAAAGATCACCCAGTCCAACCGTTCACCTATTCCCAATAGCTCCTACTAAACCATGTCCCTCAACACAACATCCGGCCTTTCCTTGAACACCCCCAGGCTCGGTGACTCCACCACCTCCCTGGGCATCCATTCCAGTGCCTGACCACCCTTTCTGAACAGTAATACTTCCTCATGTCCAGCCTGAATCTCCCCTGCCGTAGCTTGAAACCATTCCCCCTGGTCCTATCACTGATGACACGAGAGAAGAGGCCGACCCCCAGCTCACTACAACCTCCCTTCAGGAAGTTATAGAGAGCAATGAGGTCTTCCCTGAGCCTCCTCTTCTCCAGGCTGAACATTCCCAGCTCCTTCAGCCTCTCCTCATATGGCCTGTACTCCATTTCTGATGACAACAAGCTGACTGGTGCAGTTGACACCATAAAAGATAGGGACACCATCCAGAGGGACTTGGACAGGCTTGAAAAGTGAGGCCACGTGAAGTTATGGATGCCCCATCCTGAAGGTGATCAAGGATATGTTGGATGAGGCCCTGGGCAACCTGATCTAGCAATTGGTAACCCTGCCTATGGCAAGGAGGATGGAACAAAATGATCCTTAATGTCCCCTTCAACCACAGCCTTGATTCCTTCAGTGACAGAACTGTCTTTGTGTATTCTGCCAGGAAGCTCTAACCAGGTTACAGTGGCTCAGCTCTTGTTTAAAATGACTGGAACATGAAACTCAGGTAGTCTGCCTAAGAGAACTGCTAAAGTTAGGAAAACAAAAGTGAAGTCCTCATAGCTCCCAAAGCAAGCTCAAAGTACTTGAAAAGTGAAAATAAAAATAAAAGATCACAACACGCCATAGACTTTTAAGTAGGCATTATTCAAGGCATTCCCTGGCATCAATCATAGATGCCTGGTAATAACTGCACAAGCCCATCAGAAAGCAAAGAGGACAATGCTGCCCACAGCATTAACTTCTTTCTGCTCAAAAGTAGGGTTGTCACACTCCAGGCAAATTGCATCTGGTCCTTCAGGCCTACATACTAGCACACACATAGCTATACCAACTGCTGCTCACAAACAAATAAAGTGTGAATTGATCCCCACACAGACCAGGCCCCCACTATCCATGTTAGGAGAGAAATGTTAGTTTCACATTGAGGTAATGACTTTCCATGTTGGACAAAATTATGAGGGGTTCACACAGTCTTTTCTAAGGAAAATCTCAATCCTGAGATCACTAGAAATCACCACAAACTAAGAGGTTGATTTGCTTTGCCATATGCAGGAATGTCATGGTTTTATGATTTTTGGTTATATTATTGGTATTCCACATCATAACGTCATGTTAAAGTGAGTTAAAGAGTTAATGTTCCAGTTCCAGTCCCAGAAGAGAAGAGCTACATCCTCTCATTTTGTATGATTTATTAGCTCCAGTTCTGATTGTTTTGTATTATATTGTATTATAGTGTGTTACCTTGCATTCCGATATCTTATTTAGTAAATTAGTTTGTTTCTCCTCAGATCATTGCCACTGTTTATTTTTAAGCCCATCTCTCTAACCTTTTCCTTTTTTTCCCTTTTCCCTTTTAGGGCACTGTGGATGCCTCTGCCCTGCTAGTCAAGGAACCAGCAGAAACCAGCCCATAAACCATTGACAAGGTAGCATAGAATCCACTATCTCTTGAAAGCCTCATTGAAATATACTACCTCCCATTGGTTCTGTTCTTGTTTCCATCTAATTCACAGACCTTAACGATAGTTTTCATATGTTACACTTTAAAGGACTGACAAATCTTACCTCTGGTAAGAGGGAGTTTGATTTAAAGCAGGATAAAGCAGCGTTGCAGAGCTGAGCTAAAAGAAGTGGCAATTAAAATGCATCTGCTATGATGGAATGAACTTTATTAAAGATGTTAATGATGATACTGGAAGTCATGCATGACGTTTTATTCCTTATGCATGGACTAACAGCAAAAATAATAAAAACTCCTTGACAAAAATATGAAATGTGACATTTGTAAGCCTGGCAGAACTATGATATTGCAGGCATTTTAATACAATGACAAGAAGAAAAAAAGAAAGATATCCCTCCTCGATTGCCTATGTGTCACTTGAATGAATTTAGCTTAAATTTGCTTTTTCTTCTGTTAAAGGTCATTCTTTTGTGAAGTGATTTTTATAATTGTTGTCATTCTAGATCAGTTATGTCAAATTTAGGATAGATTAATTTTGAGACAATCACTCTATTAGATGATTAGTTGATTCATGTAATAACTCAGGCACTCATTCAGAGGACTGCTCTCCTGTATGGAGAACATACAAATTAAGCAGAGTTTTCTGTCTTTATGTGTGTAGATATCTGTATTGATCCTTACTCAAAAGTCTTTAATTTGAGCAACAGATATCACTCTAGCAAATCATTCTGTACTCAGATTGTTCTCCATAGATTTTTACTATTGTTGTGCACCAGAAACAAGGCTTTCTTTGAATTGTTCTGGCAAGGACAAATGTTTCCACAAGGTTGACATGGTCAGCTGGTCCTCGGAGCTGATTTCCTGTTTAAGTATTTAACCCACAATGCAGCAAATAGGAACTCCAGGAAGACACATCAAGAAGCCAAACAAAATTAAATCAGTTCTATTCCTGCCCAGCGTGTGCTTGGCTGAGTATTACTTTGTACAGCAACTCGGTGTTCAGCATGAAATTTGAAATTGTTTTCTGACAATATTTTTGCTAGATCTGAGAACAAATAGTGTCACAATCCTACCCTCAGCTCTTCTGTCAGCTCACCAGGACTTCCAGATAGGCATTTAATCTTTCTGGGGCTCAATTTATTCAGTACCATTTTTGACTGTGTGACTGTCTGCCTGTGCCCAGAGTTATCTGTGCTAAACCCTGAAAATCTCAGCCCCTGCAAGGTCTCATATCTCTTCTAGATTAACTCCACCCATGGTTGGTTGCCATCTGGTAATCTGCCCACTGCCTTAATTGCACTGCAGTCAGGCTTCCAAGATGAATACAGTGGGAAGTCTTTACAAAATTAACATTTCTTTTCCATATGCAAAATGTGGAAAATGTATCTACTCCACTTTGAAACTTCCCAGTGAGATTTGTCAGTTTTTACCTGATTTCAAAGAAAAATCCATTGGAATGGAAAGGTAGAAAATAATGTAGTATGTTTTTGGGAGGCTTTAACTGCTGTCAGCATGTAGAGATGTAGAATCTCTGTGGTGGCTGCTAATATGGTATTCCTTAATGCTGTCTATATCTATCTTGAAAGATGAATCAAGTGATACTTGAAGCAGTTTGATGCTTAAAAAAAAAAGAAAAAAAAAAGAAGACATTTAAGAACACAGGCATCCTGATTTTGAGCATTTTACCATCAAACTGCAATGGACACTGGATTAGTTCTTAAATGAGTTAGGACCTCAGTTCAGTGAACAACTTGAGCTGCAAATCAACAAGTAATCTCACCAAAGTGAGCAACACCTCTCTACACCCACTGTTATGCTCTAAGCCAGGCACTTAATTACACCCCATCAGGCTACATTGCAACTTGCCTTGGCTCTCAATGCTGTGTCCAGGCTTCCTATCAGCAATCACCATCAATCAGGCCAATCCAATGTATGACTTCAAGCTAATCTTATGAGGTTAGAGGTTTATTTAATACAAATTCTGTTATTCTTCCCACTTTTGGTTTCTGAGCATTGTGAGAGCATTTCAGTCATGGGTTGTTTGGTTTGGTTGTTGTTTTTTTTTTTTTGAACTTTTTTCCAGTAACCACAAGGGTTCAAATCTCACTGTTTTTATTGGTGGTATTCATGAAGTGAAAACTAGGGTTCCCATGCCATTGCTGAGTTCTAAAGGCTGGAGATTATAAGAAAAAGAAGTAAATGCCAAAAATCTTGTGATGAGATGATGTGAGCTGACAATACAGATGTGATTACCCTGGAAGCAAGAGAGCTATCCCTGTGAAACTGGTATGAGATCAAATCCCAATCATTCATTAGGGATTGCATATTTTCTTACCCATTGTTTATAATGGAGCTACCACAAAACTGCCCTCTAGTTGCAGGAGGGCTGTTTCTGACATTTTGGACAGCTGTATATTTAAATACATCTCTTGCTTTCCTTCCCTCTGCAACCTACTTTGCCCATTTCCTACATTTACTTCATGAAAACTGAAAAGTTATCAAAACTTCACCTTTTTGCCTTTCCGTAACCACATATTTTCATCAAACCCATAAATTCAAGGCACATCCCTCCTGACCACGAGAAGCTTTCTTGACATGCAGATTGTGTTAATTCCCCCTTTTTAGGTAGCCTTAACAATGTTAAAATGCTGCCACCTTCTGTTAGATGCTTGTGTTGCTAATAGGTTGCAAAAAAAAAACCCACATTCTTCTATTTCCTTCAGGCTTGTAAGTTGATTTATACTGATCCTCAGCTGCATTGGTACAATATATAACATGACAGGTTAAATGCAGTGCCTGCCAAAAAGTCTTGATAGGCTCAGCTTTCGTGCAGCGGCACTTGAAAAGACCATTACTGCTGCCATCCAGCTAAAGTATGCTCAATATTTTTGACAGTGAATTATCTGAACAGCAGTTTATCTCAATGTTCACTTGGTGCTATATAGCAATTTAAGGATTCAAAAGACAGAAGTGAAAAAAAAAGGCAAAATCTCCTATTGTTCAAAGTGAAGAAAGTTGGAATGAGTTTTTCTGTGAATTTTAAAACAGTTGGGTATTTACTCTCAAATGCATTTCAGGGCTCATTGACAGGCAGATAATTAGCATAGGTGTAGATTGCATTCAATTTTTGTCATTTGTCCTCGAGATCTCAGGGTTTCAGAAACCCAGCTATGGGCTGCATTCTTGTTCGGAGATGGTTTGTGTATCTTCTCTGGCACTTTAAAATCATGTCAATGAGTAAAAGTTGTACTGAGATTCCCATCTTCCTTTCTGGAAGGCCTATGTCCTGCCCACTGGACATTATCTTCACTTCAGAAGATAAAAAATCAATAGCTTTGTGGCTGCAGTGGTGATAGGGCACACAGAGCCCCTTGCCAAGAGAGCGTTGTTCCCACTAACTCACTGTTTGCAGCCTTCTGCTCAGTGGAGCAATGCATTTTTCCCTGCTCTGTTCCTGCAGACCAGAAGCTGTCTCTGGGTGCACTGCCAAGACCCTCCTGACATCATTCTCAAATTTAAGTCTTGAGCTTTGATGACAGGAAGATCCTTCTGCTTACTTATGTGATCATGCAGCTAAGTAAACTTTCCTGCCTGAAATGCATTTATTAAGGAGATAAGGATTTGAGTTGATTTTCAAACTCCTGTAAATTCCAGCAAATCATTTTGGCTGCAGAGAAAGGAATTAAGATAACCAGTAAATCATCAGCTTATTTTGGAATTATTCTAAACCTATGGTGTTGATTTGCAACTCCACAATTGTTTGCTGTAATCTTGGTTATAAAATATTGTTAAAACTTCAGAAAGAAAATGTTGGCTTTCAGGTTAAACTGAACTCTCTTAATTTGATCCCACATTGTTTCACTTTTCTGAAACTCCAACTGAACCAAAAACATTCTGTTGTTTACTTCTGAGCACTGAAAAGTCCTTTAGCCAGAGGTTACCAGTGATTAGTGGCTTAAGGGCAAAAATACAGAAATAAAAATGTCCCGAGCAAATAATATGATAGTCACAATATCATGCTTTGCTCTATCTCTTTGGTATGCCATGGCCAAGAATAATGTTAGGAGATGCCACAAACATCATACTGCTTGAAAGCCATACACTGGGGACAGTGGTCTCAACCAGAAAGGGTCTGCGGACATGTAGTGCTCCCAAAGCAGCTTCTAAGAGATTTCTAAAATACAAATAAGAAAGCAAACCTCATGTCGGTTGGGCTTAAATTATTCAGGCAGGATCTGCACCTCTTTATTTAGTAATCTGTAAAACAAAAGAAGTTGGAGATTTGCTGGCCTGAGCTATCTGTTGTGTTTAGATAGATGCCAATCACTTTGATATTTAAGCCAACAAAGTCCAGCCTCATTCTGTGTGCTTCTTGTGGAAGGAAAATATTTCAAGTGAACTCTACCAGAGTATCTTTATCCTTTCTTCAATTCACTTTGGTTTTATTTTCCTATGCAGCAAGGTATTAACATCAAAAGTGAAACACACCAAGATTTCATGTATTGGTAGTATTGCTGTGAGCCACAGTGGAAGCACACCACAGGGACCAAAATAAGAGTGTATGATGTGAAACTCTGCAGTACAGAATGATATTCCTACATGTGAAGCACCTGAATTATTAAGGCCTATGTTAGTATTAAAGTATTCAGTGTGAACCAGGAAGGAGACCTGACAGCAGAGAACTCAAGAGAAAGCAAAATCTTCTGATGACTGTTTACAATACTGTGTCAACAGAGACAAAAGGGCTTATTTGAGTCCAGGAGAAGAAAAAGAGAAAGAAAAAAGAAAAAGAAAAAGGAAAAAAAGAGAAAAAAGAAAGGGAAGGGAAGGGAAGGGAAGGGAAGGGAAGGGAAGGGAAGGGAAGGGAAGGGAAGGGAAGGGAAGGGAAGGGAAGGGAAGGGAAGGGAAGGGAAGGGAAGGGAAGGGAAGGGAAGGGAAGGGAAGGGAAGGGAAGGGAAGGGAAGGGAAGGGGGAAAATAAAGAAGTGAGGCATGTTTCTCAGCCTTAAGAAATATTGTCTTGCTATGAGGATTGGAAAATGTAAAGAATTCTGCCAATCTGACCCAATTCACTCGACTTCTAGTATATTGGTTTAAAGAAAAAATTCAGTGACCACTGTTATTTGGATATAAAACCATCTTGACAGCCATGAGTAGCCAGGATAAAGTAGGTCGCACTTTCTCCTGCTGTCTGAAGGCAGTGGTAATGCCTTGAGGGTCACTGGAGCAGAGGAGACTCTTTCTGTTGTCAATATGTGCAAGCACAGGCTGGAGACCTGACTCAGTCATTTCTGCCTTACATTGTAATTACACATTCAGTGCTTCTTAGAGGAAACAGCGAATGCTTCACCTCAAACCAAATTAAATTTTAAAAATGTTATTTGACACAAGTCTTTCTGCAAGCTCCTGTTTTTGTAAATGAGTGGAAGAAGTTCACACCCATGTCAACAAGAACACAATTTTCTAGTCAACGCTATCATATCAGCTTCACCTTCCAAAATCTTAGCTATCATTACTTCTAAGAAAGGAGTGTAATAAAGTTACTGCGACCTACAGAACTGCTCCAAAACACAATGTAAAAATCATGTGAGACATACCCTATTTTTTTAGAGAAATACTGTTATTAGCTGCTGTCAGAAGGATCACAATCTTCCTCATTCCCAAACCAGTTGTGATACAGTTCCCTCTCCACATTACAAGCAATAAGACTGTTGAAGCAAGAAGTGCTGCCAGGGCTCTGTGTTCACACCGAGTCCAGGTCCCAGCCTCTGGCTGCTTTATGGTCACCCCATCTCCATCACCCTATATCTCTGCCACCCTGCAAGCATGCACCCAGGGGCTCCTGTTTTGACGACAGCATTGAACACTTCCACAGGCAGATCCTCCTCTTGTGGCTTAAAGGTGTGACCTGGTAGTTGAGATCAATACCTTGTCACTTCATTCTTCTGCTGCTCCTTTATCCTGCAGTGAATTGAGTTTTCCGTGCTATTTGTTGTGCTCTTTCTCTTTTCTTAGAGTAGTATTTGTAGCTCATTCTGTCACCTTTCATGCACGAGGTTTTTCTTGCTGACACAGCAGCCATTAGGTACAGTTTAGCTCTTCTAACTCTGTGTATCACTTCATTACAAGAGACTTCTTAGAAATCGACCTTCGCACTCTGAATAAAAACTGAACCTGGCCTTTGATTTCTGGAAGGTGTTGGGCTACGGGATGTCAAAGAATCACAGCAATGAGCTGCTAGGTGATCCACAGCTGGCTTTGCTGGGTGCCTTAAGCAATATTGGCTCTGTTTTCTCATTTCCCGCTTGGACCCACTTTCAGTAGTGCATTTCTCAGACGCTGGAGCATGTTGCTAGAGTGTAAACACTGTAATATCAAAATCAGCTGCTCCTCCATCTGTGACTAGCATTTAAACTTCCCATGCTCTGTACACAGGAAAAAGAAACATTAACAGATGAGAGGGGCATCATTAGCAGTGCACTGCTTATAAGATCCTCCTCTCCATTAGAGGAGAGCACTGTCCCAGTGGAAGCTCGCTTCCTGCACCCATGGCTTTTGAAGGTGTCAGCCCTCCACGTTATTATTTCAAGTTTGGTTGCATTAAATGGGCACACACTGTGCTGAGAATTAATATTCAGGGAAAATATAAATCATTGTGGCTTCAAAAGTACATGACACTGCTTGACACTAAGTTTAGCTGTGAGTACAAGTGAGCCTTTCCTGTGGCTACCACTGCACATTGCATGGGCAGAGGGACAGAGAAGTCATGGACATGGCCCAGGCAGCTCCTAGTCCTAACAGGTTGCTTTTAGATGTCAACCTATTTATCAGCCCAGTGCTCCTCCATGCATAATCTGCAAACAGGGGGTACCAGTCCTCTGCTTTCCTTGCTTTAAAAAGAAAGTTTAATTTTTTCATATTGATGAAGCATCAGGTTTTGAGGAAAGTCATAGAGGTAGGTAAAGCTAATACCTAGACACTCTCTCTATACAAAATTACATGGTGAAGAACAGCAAATGCTACCCAGGACAAAATACTGCCCATTTTGACAGAAAAGAACTTGAAAAATTAAGTTACACAGAATATTTTAGATTTCTTTTTTTTTTTTTTTAACATGTCTATGAGAGGAAGGGAGAGAGAGAAATGCTTATTTTTCTGCTTGCAAAATTTAAGCGCATTGAAACATTATGAGAAGCTCTTTCATTATTTCCCATATAAACTATTTGAATAATTTCATTTGCACAAATTTTACAAAATAGGATAATATCCTACTAAAACACTCACTTGAAAATTATTGTATTCGTTAGTATTTCTCAATTTAATAAAACAGAGGAGGTTTTCCCAAAATTGATACTGAACTATCTACAACTTTTGTTCAAAAACTTGGAGAGAGCAAACAAAACAAAAAAAACTTCCTTGAAGGCTGCATTCAGTTATGCTTATGCTTCCCTTCATCCACTGTAAAAAGCAAAAGGATGCCAATACAGAAGCATATGTACTTGGCTGTAAGCTGTAATTCAGAAATCCCTATCTACCAGGTTGAACTGCAAGTACCTGAGCTGCTTATTTGAACAGCAGTAAGGTAAATACAAAAGCAATAAGATAAAATACTGTTAGCTTTCCCCTACTTTCACCCCATCTTTTATTGAACAGTACTTTTCATTTTCTATTAAGGTCAGCCGGGCAGACTTTTTGAATCCCCTATATGTTGAAATGTAAATAAAATAAAGCAAATGGGAGGGAGATGGGAAGAGACAACTGGTCCTGATGAATACAAGTTTACACTCCATGGCAGACCCAACAAGAACATCCCACAGGCAGGCTGGGGCACCAAGGGGGTGTTTGTAGCTTCCCCAGACATCACTTGGTTTCCAGCAGGGCACCAAGCTTCAGCACTCTGCTTTTGCCAGGCAGCAGCCCATTGCTCCATGGCTCAGCTCGGCTTCCCCAGGACCCTAGCAACGGGGATGCTCTCTTCCTCCAAGGAGCAGAAAGCAAGGAGGGGCAGCCACCCACCCCTACACACTTCCCCATCTTCCCAAGCAGCTGATGGGGGACTGCTGCCAGCCTTCCCATTAGAAGTTACAGAAAAGGTGAGTTTGTCTCATTTGACTATCGCCGTCAGGCAGCGTTTGCAATTAGTCCACTTCGATCTTATTCAGGCTTTGGATGCCTTTCAGTGGCGAAAAAGGGAACACTTGAGCTCCATTGAATTGGAGCGTGGCATCTGCTGCGCGCTGGGGGGAGAGGCTGGGGGTCAGCGCTTGATTTTGATAAAGCGTGCCAGATTAATTGTCTTCAGTAATCCTGTTTGTCATGGTAGATGTGCAGAGGAGTCTTTGTGGCACAGGCTGACATATGGGCTGGCCGGCTGCTCGCCTATTCAGTCCCTCCCCACACATGCTCTTCACAGTTGGCCTAGTTCCCAGAGCCTTGTTCTCCGGGGAAGCGGGCCTCCTGCACCTATTCAGCCGGCCCCCAGTGCCACAAACAGGCTCCCTAATCTGCAGGCCTGTCTGGGCTATTCAAAGCAATTGCATTATTCAGAGAGATCGAGAAAGAGGCTGAGGAGGGTGGGGGAAGCGCAAGAGGGAGAGGGAGCAGTGCGATTTTGGAAAGAAATAAGCAGCCCGGTACTTCAGGCAGAGCTCTTCAGGAGGCTGATTATAGTCCCTCTCCAAATCTGAAATTATACCCTGCCTCATTTGTAAAACAGATGCTAATAAGAGGTAATTTGGACCCTGCTGATTATTAACTTCAATGGAGGCGCTCTTTTTTTCCCTGTGTTTTTGTTAGGAATTCTTGGATTGTCCCTCACACGCTGCTCTGAAGCAGAGGATGGAACAAGAGGACAAAGGAAACTCTTCAAATAATACAGGAGCAGGATGAATGTGGCCCTGGAGAGGACCAGCGACCATCCAGCCAGGCAATGGAGTCTGGAACTGCTTATGGCACTGATGGCATCAGTCTGGAACTGATGGCCCAAGGGCCCCTGAACACACAGCCTGCCTGCACTGCCCAGGTTGTGACACGGAGCACATAGCACAGCCTGCTTCCCCAGGGAGGGAGATGGATCTAAGCTGATGGGAAAAGGCAGCAGAAAGTGGTGAGAATGAGCAATTCCTGGGTTTCTTGAGAGCCGTTTGATTATGCATTTAACTATGTGGCCATTAATGTTATTTTACAAGAGCTCTTAGGATGCAAAGTATTCGTGCATGAACGGGAACAGCTACAAGGAACAGTTGACAGTTCAGTACGTCAGCCAATACATTGACTTCTACGGGCCATAACCTGAGCTACTTCAAAGCCTCCACTATCTTGACAAGTGCCACAGAGGAATTCTCTACAAGTGTGTGTATCAAGTAATAGGGAAAAAAATAAAAAAATAAAATAAAATAAAAAAATGAAAAGAGAGAGCACCCAATATTCTATGTATGTTTTGTCCATGCACCTTGCACTTAGAATCACAGAATTGCTCAGGTTGGAAAAGACCTTAAAGATCATCGAGTCCAACCACAACCTAACCATCCTACCCTCACCCTAACAACCCTCTGCTAAATCAGGTCCTTGAGCACCACATCCAAATGGTTTTTAAGCACAACCAGGAATGGTGACTCAACCACCTCCCTGGGCAGCCTATTGCAGTGCTTCACAACCCTTGCTGTAAGAAGTGTTTCCTGATATCCAACCTAAACTTACCCTGGTGCAACTTGAGGCCATTTCCCTTCGTCCTGTCACCAGTGAGAAGAGACCAGCCCTGCTCTGCTGTAAGCACCTTTCAGATATTGGAAGAGAGCAATCAGGTCTCCCCTCAGCCTCCTCCTCCCCATGATAAACAGCCCCAGCTCCTTCAGTCTCTCCTCCTAGGGCATATTCTCCAAGCCCTTCACAAGCCTTGGTTACTGTTCAGACAAGAAACAGAAACAGGCAAATGAATTCTGCTGTAAGATATGTCCTGCAAGCTAAAGTACTGTGTCCTGCTCATAATTTCCCCTGAGCTGGAGTACACATACACCAGTTAGTCTTTGTACCAAAAAATGTGGTGGCACAAATCTTAATGCACATGTGCTGTATGGTCTTCTGATACATCTTACAGTCTTCTGGTTGTGTTTTGTATTTCAACCTGTATTTGAAGGACTACACAAGCTTTTCCTACTGCAGGCAGCAACTTGAGGATTAACACTTGGAATACTGCCTTGCAAGAAAACCATGGCATACAGGAACCTAACAGTATGTCAGACAAGAGGTGTAGCTCACAAGATTACACTGTACTTACAAGTTTAACAGTGAAGAACAATCTGAAGAATTTCAGACAGGCTCAAAGGTCTTCCTTTCATTTATTACCCTAACTTTAGTTCTTTATGCCACTCCTGAAACGTCTTCAAGACAGTCTTGGATTTTACTTCAGTCCCTGTCTCCTCATGATCCCCAGTTCCTCTGAACACTGCCATCCGCTATCAGCTGCTTCCAGTTTAATGTTGCCTTAACATTAAGGAAGTCAGGATTTATTTCCCCCACCACGATACTTAACACTCAGAAGTCACCTACGCTGATGCCAATTGCCAACAAAGTACTGCTTTGCTGTTGTTTTCTTATCTGCCCTGGAGATCAAATATAAGACTGCACTGTAAATATAGCATCTCACACATTTTAAGAGGGAAAATCATCTGGTTAGGAAATTAATGAAGGGAAAAGTTATTCTCAAGCCAAACCCCGACAAAATGCCTTCTCTCTAGCAAAAACATTGTGAATATTTGTTTGGATACTATCTTTGCTACTTTCGCTGCTGCTCTCACTAAATTTCATTTCCCCTAGTCCTTCACTTAATGAAGCAGATATTGTACTATGAAAGAAACATAAAACAACTAACATTTACTGGGTGTCTGATTCTAGGTTGGTGTGTGGTGTGAAAGTGAGTTGTAAAGGGGAATATCCTCTGCTCAGGCAAGATTTTTCCTATTGTTCTTGATAGGTGATTGGGTCAAAATCAAAATGTTGATTCCTGAAGCTGCTCTTCTTTCAAAATAACCAAGTGTTTTAATAAAGCAAACTGGAATTTCCATGGGGCTGGCAAGGCAAGAGCACACATCAGTTATGATTGCAAAATCACACTAGAAAAAACTTTGAGGACTGAGCTGTTGTTGGGCATGAGTGAAAGAGAATTGTGACATGCTCAAGTAAGTAAACTCATCTTTAAATAGAGCATAATCCTTATAGAATATGCTTATAGAATATAGAATCCTCTATTAGGATTATATAGAATATATAATCCTAATAGAGGAAGGATAGCTGAGTTGGCATTTCTCTTACAGGCATACAAATCTTCATCCTTTTACGGTTAGGTGAAAAAATATATTTTTATAAATATGTATTTGATTGGTGAAAATATCTGCACAGATACTGTTTTATTTGTTTATTTCCCAAAAGCAGAGCCAAAGGGATTTTATATGTGGAAGCCAGTACATGTGGCAGGAGGATAAACTTCATAGATTTCAATATTTACTAGTTGCCTCAGGTGTTTTTTAATTCCCTAGGACACTGAAATAGTTTCAGCTATCCTTGAAAAATGACCTGGTCTCAGATAAAGATAAAAGAAAACATTAAAAAAGGTTTTTCAGAATCCTCAAGCAGCTGAGAAATGACTAAAGCCTCAATAGCTAGTTTTAATCTTTCAGACTAACAAGACCATCCAGGAGATCACATTTTACATGACTGTCATATTATTTCTCCATAGAGTTTGAGAAGAATCATAGAAGTTACTTACCACTAAATAATTCAAATGGAAGTGCAACCATTTAGTAGACTTGATCAAGGAACTGTATAGTTAACAGCATACCTTAAGAACTCCTTAAGAAAGATGAAGACTTCTTCCTCCAGTATGTCAGTCAGCAAGTTGGTCATTTGCAGGTTGTAGCAATGAAAAGGAGCTTCCAGTATCAGCTGTGCTTGATTCACTTACCTTTGCCCTTTCCCCTTGTTTTATCTCACAACTGACTAACATTTCTCAGGAGGGAAACACCTTGCTTTAACAATAGTTGAAAGGAATTCAGTATTTGTTAAGAACTTAATGCACAGGCATGTATTGTCTAAAGATTAAAATGAAGTAAAATCAATGAGACATTTTGAATGAATTTAGTAAAATCCTTTGTTATACCTTCAAAAATGCCCACCATGCATTTTGGTGGAAACCAAGAGCAAAATCCTGACTTAGTATGTGGCCTAGTACAGTGAAATAGTACAGTGGAAAAGAGGATGAATGCATCAGTGCCTCCTAATGTGCAAATTAAAGTTGAATCTGCTTCATTAACAGGCACGAAGATGCTTTTCTGAATTGCTTTTCACTGGCATTAAGAAATTCTTGGAAGAATGTAAGTATAGAGGAGATCACCCCTCAAAACAAACTTGTTCTCAGTGGAGAAGAAATATGTTCATGTTCCCAGCATCTTAACAATACTGTGCTCCTTCTGTTATCTCTTGCAAAGTTAACTTCTTGTTTCTACAGGGAATAAACAAAGTTCCTGATTCCTCATGGTTGCTCAGTCAAGCCATCTACCACAACCATTAAAAAAAAAAAAAAGTAGTTCAAGAGAACCACATAATACATGTACACATTCATTGGTTTATGGCACAACTTGTAGTGAATTAAAAGCTGTAAGATAAAAGCAGCGACAAGTCACTGGAAAGACCTGGAAAATCAAAACAATGCTGCAGCCTCGTGACAACTGTAGCAGTGGCATCTTATCAGGATTAGTCATTTGCATCTGAAAGTCCCCAGTGAAGACACACGTAGCCCACTCTATTAAAAATGGATTATACATTTTATATCTTCATGAAAGAATTATAGGTGTGGACATTAATTATATATATTGTACATATTTTCACAAGAAATAAATGTGTAGTGGCCCAATTCTTAATTAGTATCAATCCATATCCTTACGAGTAGTCAAGAGATTTACTACTGTCTTGTTATAGGAGCACTCACCACCACTCTTTCACTTTGTAGACTGAGTATATTTCTGTAACTTACCGTACCACACTCGTAAGGTCTTGAACTGATATGGAAAATGAAACAAGGAAAGCTGAAAGGGGACAATGAGGAGAGAAAAAGAACTTTGTGCTAAGTAGGGAATGCCCTTTTATTTCTACCACTACCAAGATCACTGAGTATCAGAGAAGCAACTTAATCACATTGTATTGTTTTAGATTTCTGCTAATGCCTCCTTTTTAAAGACAAAGGCATTTATCAGGAGTGAGAGCAAGCCCAACAGTATAAGAACAAGAAATGGAGTTGCTCTTGCTCTTGCTCTTCAAGCCTCCTACTTGCTCCCTGTAGCAAGTTTTACACGACACAAAGACTAAAAAAATAATGTCACAAAGTAAATGTCAGTCCAATGTTTGATGTTTTCCTGTTAATATCACTGTGATGGACAAAAGGACTTCTTTTGGGTTGTAATAATATGAAAGTCTAATAAACACCTATCTAGATCACATTTTTAGAGTGCCCAGCACAACTGAAAGGAACAGTCATCTCCAGAAGGCAATTTGTCCTATTCCATGATGCCTGATTTCAGCTTTAATCTCTGGAATAACATTTTCCATTATTAGATATAGGGGGAGGCAAAATGAGTGACGTTCAAATGATTACATTTTGGGTATGTAATGCCTTCCTTTAGTAGTATCAGTGGCAATTTTTTTAATAGGAAAATCTTTGAGAAATGGCTATCACACACTTCTGTTGTGTTGTGGAAGCATAATACTCTTTTTACTTTATAAAAAGAACATAATTCTTCCCAACAAGAACTTGATATTTTCATAAATTATACAGTTTTTACGATTGATAATTTATTTTTTTGTTGTTGTTGTTTATCCCAGAGGTAATAATACATTTCATAGAATGGCTTGAGCTGGGAGAGCCCTCAGAAATTACCAGTTAGTTTCAACACCTCTGCCACGGGAAGAGACAACTCTCACCACACCAGGTTGCTCAAAGCCTCATCCAGACTGACCTTGAACACCTCCAGGGATGAGGCATCCACAGCTTCTCTGTGCAACCTGTTCCAGTGCCTCACCACTCTCACAGTAAAGTCCTCTGTATGAGGAAGCACCTGAACACACATCACAGTAAAGTCCAAAGTACAGCTGATGGAACTGAATAAGGAGATGTGAGTGGTTGCATGATAGAAACTTTTTTTTTTCTTCTCTAATACTCATCCTAGTACTGGAGTAGGCAACAGTCTTCACTAAGTCATAGTAGTTAATTATTTGTTGCCAAATTATACTCGTATGACAAACACTCCAGTGCATATAGATTCTGTCTGAGCTAAAGGGGGATCATGTATAGAAAAAAAATATCCTAGCAATAGT